GTTAAACCGAATTCCACTCGTAGTTTGAATCTTCTCTGATAGTCTTGCTCGTCGGTGCACAACACAACTCGTGAGCGTGTTTCAAATCACTAGTGAAATTACTTATGAACCTAACGTAACTACAAATCTTAAAATTTTGAAGCAAGAAATTAACCATTTTATCAAAAACAAAAACGTATGAATTATAATTTATATTTTTGTACTTAGTTGTTAAACACTGTTTTATTGTCAATCAGGTAATTCAACATAAGAAATAGCAATCCAAATCGAAACTAATATAATAATGAATTATTTTTCGTAAAAACTATATTATTTTTTGCAAGGTACTGAATGGTATTTATGAAGTGAAATCATCTAAGCCCAACCATGTATTGCAATGGATTTGTAACGTTCTCTTAAATTGTAATATGCGTTGCTAATGAATTCAGCTGTCGATGCGACACGAAATAAATAAATTTAATAAAACAACAGAAAACATCTGAAAGTCTATATACGAAGGAAATCAAATGAAATTAATACATTTTATTATTTCTTTAACAACCAAAAGATCAGTTACAAAGGCTGGTAAAACTAATTTCTACCAAGTCCTGTCTTGTTTTCAAATAATCAAAATCCATTCTTTCAAAAATGGGCTATTGAGCTGTATCAACTATGTCAGTCATCGAGTCATCGCGTTGTAGGCACAAATTCTGCTGCTTCGCAGAACCACGTTCGCTGACCTTGAGCATATCTGCCATCTACCGAAAATTGCTTCCGTGAACTACTAGTAGCTTGCGATCAACGGTATGGCAATCACTGTCCTAGAATTCTAACCACCAATCACAGCTGCCGTAAGCTAGAACTCTCTTAACAGAGGCCGTGTAGCTGATGGGGGAAAAAAAAGATAACCGCCGCCATCGAGACCCTAACCCTAGGACTTTCCGGCCAACGAGACGATGTAGCAGCCGAGCCACCGCAGGCGCTGGGGGTATTTTTGGCCCAGAATAACCGCCCGGCACGATAAGCCGCCCGTGGCTCGCCGCCGCAGTATCTCCCGGGCGACACAATGGGCGATAGGCAACTGTTCGGCGGCGGGGTTTATGCGAGTTATAAAGTGCGCGTTATGAGGGCGACGCCAGCGGCCTCTGGCGGCCGGACGCTCCATCACGCGTAATCGCGGAGGACGCCGGAGAGAGCGCTGCAGGCGGGGCTGGAAATCGCAGAGGCGGGGAGTGAGGTTAGGTCATCGCACTGCTCTCCGCGCCTTACCACCCGGCTGCAGCCATTCACGCGAACACCAAGTTTAGCGGGGGAGAATTAAATTAGATGTGAATTAATATCTAGAGAATTCAGTCTGTGTCTGGAGGAGAATTCTTGCGGTCCGTTGCTCTGATCGATAGTTTTCCACAGAGTCTCCGAGCAATACCAGGCGAATGCCAGAGCAGTACCCTAACAAACGGGCCACGGACCGCGTGCGATGTTTCCTTCCTCTTCCTTGTCCTATCCTCATTCCTTACACCAGTGTAAGTGTGTCCTCCATTCCACACACACTTACATGCATTGCACTTCTACACATGACGACGGACGGGTCGTGAGCTTAGAGCTTGTCCTGGCTGGGGCGGTGCCTCTTTAGTGGGAGGAAATTGATTGAAGGAAATCACGTTAGCTGAAGGTAGGTCGCAGCCGGATCTCACCATCCAGCCGGGGAATATCACCGCCACCGTCCGTGATAGAACATGCATTACACGGGACTAATAACCTTAGCAGTTGACGCGCCTGGATTCACTAATCAATCAATCAAAACAAGTGTATTAAGGTCAATACCAGATTTTTACACTTGGAAGACCTAACACGTCTTCTGATTTAAACATTTATCTAATTAGTGGTTTGAACTAAGCTAATTGTAAATCGTTAACTCATATAGTGATTTGCGTGTGGTATGTCGTTGAATGAAGAATCTGACATCTTGCTTTCCTCGAACCTTCCGTTTGAAAAAGTTACTAACAATCGTCAGAGATGTATCCAGTGGCGATGTCACTGGGAGAGGTGGCTCAGGGCATCAACTGATGTCACTGGAATCAGTGCCTCTGACCGGGAGGTTCTGGGCTTTGAGTCTTGACGGTGGCAGAATTTTCGACACTAGCACAAGCACATTCCGACACTAGCACAGTAACTTGATGTAGTTCAGACCCTGTCAGGAGGACAATTGTAGCGGCCAGCTGCTCTGATCGGTAGTTTTCGGTAGAAATTGTGGTATGGTGCGCTAATTTTTAGTTAGCTGACGGGCCACTGTAGTGCATCCAAATAATATATTATATTTATATAATCGCCTGTAAGGTCAGTGATATTCGCACTGATCTGGCTAGATAAAAAAATGAAAGTGAGTGAGATAGAGAGAATGAATGGGAGCGAAAATAACAATGCCTGAGTGAGTGAGTGAGTGAGTGAGTGGGGGTGGGGGAGCCGCCGGGCAGCTGCGCAGCTGGCCGCTCCCAGGGCGGAGGGCAGGGAGGTCATTTGCGAGAAATTAGCGCACCGCCGCCGCGGCTCCGTCCAAGTTCCAAACCGCGACGCCGGCGGTCGCCCAAAGGGCGGGGGCGGAGGCCGAGGCGGGGCGAAGCGGGGGAGGCATTGCAGAATGGGGAGGGGCGAGTCGTGGCCGGGCGACGAGGAGCTTGGCCTGACGGAGAGGGTGGGCAGCGCTGGTAGGACGAGCCGAGGGGAGCGAGGTGGGGAAGGGTCTGCAGGGATAACGTGGAACAATGTGGGCAGGCGGGGCGTGGTGCGGCGAAGCGAGGCTGGGAGATGCGGGAAGGGGCGGGTAGAAGCAGGAACAGCAGGGAGGACGAAGGGAGCTGTATTGCGAAGGGAAATGTAAGGGGAATGTATATGAAGGGGAAGTGAAACGTGACGTGTCATGACAGAGCGACGAGCGACGAGTGAGTGAGGCGGAATGGCGAAGAAGTGCATGGCAGGGAGAATTGGTGCTAAGAGGGAAGAGGCGGACTTCTATGAAGCGAATGAAGGATGGTGAGATCCGCAGCCGACCTACCGTGGGCAAGCGGGGTTTCCCTAACTAGGTATCTCCCACCAGGAGGGCACCGACCCACCCGGGACAAGTTCTAAGCTCCCGACCGGTCTCCACGCATGTGTGGTAGTATGTAAGTGTGTGTGTGTAAATAAGGGATGAGGTTGGGACAAGGAAGGGGAAGGAAAGATCGCACGCGGTCCGTGTCCCGTTTGTTAGGGTACTACTCCAGCATTCGCCTGGAGTTGATCGGAGAAACCACGGAAAACTACGGATCAGCAGCCGGTAGTATGAATTCTCCTTCAGACAGCGGCTGAAACCGCCCCCTGACAAGCTACTGTTGAAAATTGTGCCAGTGTCGGAGTGTAACCCTAGAACCTCTCTGTCAGATGCACTGAAGTGGCATCAGCCTGAGCCACCTGTCCCGGTGGGGCGTGGCGGAATGGGTCGGTGCAACAGGCGGGGCGAGGTGAGGAGACGTTGTGAGGAGGTCCGAGGCTGGCGTGGCGGAGCGTGGGCAGGCGGGGCAAGGCGGAGGGAGACTAGGCAGGGAGGGACTAGGCTAGGCGTGGCGAGGCGGAGCAGGCGGGCCGGGCGAGGCGGGGGGCTGGCCGGCCCTTCGCAGAGCGGTGGGTGGCGGGCAGAAGGGGTCGTGGCGAAGGCGTGCGGTCCCTGTGGTCGCGGCCGGAGGTGGTGCGCGCGAGGGCAAGGAGATGGAAGCGCTCCTTGCGGTCTGCGATGTCCACGGGCGGCCAGGGGGCCTTGACGGAGGGGCCTCGCCCGTAACGAGGCGGTCTGCGATTTATTTGCCCAGCGTAACGCACACCGGCGCCTAATAGCGCGTCTTTCGCGCGACCCTTAATCACAGCCAGGAGGGAATCTGTTACCGCGGTCACCCGCTGTGGACATTTCCCTTGTACTTTCGTTACAACCTCTGCACATTTCTGCAAATCTTCCATTTTCTTACTTTCTCGCCCTTATTGAAGAATAGAAAGTACTGTAATTTCGGAAAATGGCAAATTTTTGCCAGAAAAACTTTTATTTCCGGGCCCTGATAGCGAAAAATTGGATAAATCTTGTTTCTTTAGTAAATGACTTTCTCTAACACGTTGTGCAGTCAGAATCCATGTTTAATGGGTCCTTCTTATCGAAAAATCAATTAACGGGAAAATGTCTGTCTGTCCGTCCATCTTTGGTCAAAATTAGCACATATTCTTTTTTTAAACTGAAACACAGCCACTTTTCTCAAAAATTATTTAATAATAATGACCAAATTTGTAAAAACCAATAGTTTTCCATAATTTGTGTTTAAATTACGGCAATTTATGAAAAAAATCTGAAGAACCGCTCCTATTTTTTCCCCCTATCAATAGAACAAGTAAAGGTTTAAAATAATCGCGCATGTCTCATTTTCGTTGAACTTTCGGAATTGCATATTTAGAAACAATACGAGAAAGTATGTTCTATTGTACCACCACTAGTTTTCTTTTTTGTATGCTTATAAAGAACTCGAAATTACCTAATAATTTGCTTCCAAAAGCAGCTTCTTGAAAAATGCATATAACAGAACAAAAGTTTGCTGAATACAAAAATTATGTCCATGGCTAAATTTTGAAAGCAGGTGCCTAAAATGTTTGCCATTTAGCAATAATTTTGTCACCAAAAAGATAAGATAAGAATAAGATAAGACCAAAAAGATAAGAATCGGCACCGACCTACCGTCGGCTAGTGGAGTTTTCCTAAACTAGGTATCTCCCACCAGCGGGACACCCCCTGCTGGGAAACGTTCTAAGCTCCCGGCATGTGTGGCAGTGTAGTGCATGTAAGGGTATGTCAATGTAAGAGTCAACGAAAGAAACGAAAGATCGCGCGTAGCCAATTTGTTATGGTACTGCTCCGGCATTCACCTGGTGTTGTTATCCCATCAACACTTTCGTTCATCCTAGGAAGAGTAACATTACCCTACATAATGATGAATATCCTCGTGACTCACCCCATGCAGGCGACGAGCCCATTCTGGTAGAGCGGGGGCGCGCTGTCCCAGAGGTCTGACAACCGGAAGTCCAGGTCCGACGCCAGGTTGGTCAGCAGCTGCAACAGGAGGCGAACGTCACATCACCCACGTTTTATCAATCACTACAAACAATTACGAACTCCATCACTTGGGTGCCAATGGGAAAATAAATATACAGTTCTCAATTAGAAAACAATGTTAATTCAAACGCCATCAAGGGAATAATTATATGAGTCATTGACAACAATATTATTTATTACAATAGCAGATTTCTATGGCCATCATCATCAGTTTTCTAGTACAAGAACAAATTTAAAAAAGCATTAAAATATTAAAAAAGTTCTTTGTAAATGCCAACGAAAACCCACCACAACCATCAAGAAGTTGTGACTGACTGATTGATTCTAGGTATGTCAACTGCTATTTATGGTCATTAGTTAGTGTAGTGTTTTATCTAGGGAAGTGGCGGTGTTCGTCTCTCGCTGGAAAAGGATAAAAAGGGGCGAACTACACTTCGTCTTGCAAGGAATCTCCTCTCCAAGTATTTCTCCCCAGCCTGGCACCGCCTCAGCTCTAAGCTCCCGACTCACTTTCAACAAGCTCTAAGCTCCCGACCGTTCTTACGGTGTGTGTGGAAGTGTAGTGCATGTTAGTGTAAGTGTGTGTAAGGGAAAATGATAGGACAAGGAAGAGGTAGGAAAGAATGCCCGCGGTCTGTGGCCCGTTTGTTAGGGTGCTACTCCAGCATTCGCCTGGTGTTGATGGGAGAAATCACGGAAAACTGCCGATCAGAGCAGCCGGCCGCTACAATTCTCCTCTAGACATTTAACTGAATTCGATCTAGCCATCTATCTAGCGCCGCAATCCCCACCATGGTCCGGACTCGAACCCTAGAAGCTCGTGATTAGAGTCATTGTTTTGACAACAATCGTTACTCTGAGTACTGTAGCTAGGTATTATGTTTCGCCCCTTCCATCGCGGCTCCCCGGTTCGATTCCCGGTGGACCGCGTGGCTTTTGCGGGGCGCAAAGCAGTTCCCTTACGAATCACTCTCCCCTACTCAATGCGCTCATTACCACTCTGCCACGCCATCGCAGTCACCGCCGGTGACGCCTCACGGACGCCGGGGCGGGAAAAGCACGCACTCCCCCCCCCCACGCTATTTAGAGAACAGTTTTTTTTAAATATGTATTTTCTACCTGCTCAATCGTACAATGTTTCGTTTTAATTTCGTTTCGCAATAATTGTATTACAAGAAGGATACAATCTGCAGGTAAATAACATTACCCATATCGTAGGCGTTCAAGGGCAAATATAGCATCGTAGGAGGCAAAATCAGAAACAGTTTCCGGGCAGGTAGGCCGTGGTCCAGTTGGCGATGAAAGACCAAACGTTTCGTCCACGACTGCGGTGGACATCCTCAGACCCCGAACACTGCGCCCGTGTTCCTACCACCACTCAAGATGCCCACAGCAGTCGTGGACGAAAGGTTTGATCCTCATCGCCAACTGGACCACGGCCTACCAGCCTGGAATATTTCTCTGAATATTACCCATAAATGATAAGAATAACATATGTTATTTATATTTGAATAAATAGCATACAACTTAAAAAGAAGTGAATTGCAAAGATGGGAATTTATTATAAAAGTTAGGGAAGATGAAAAAACTTCTTTGAAAACGTGAACATATTCGAGGATTCGGAAAATACATTTGTCCTAAAGCAAAATGTTTAGACTCAGTTAAAGTTGGTACTCTATTATAAACGTTTTTCGTGAAATGGAAAATAATGGAATTTAAAACAATCAATTTGCAGTATTCGACAAGGATCATAGTGCATTTAACATTTTCCGAAGAAATTAATTTTGAGCAAATTGTAGCTGATTTATATTAGAAGTAGAAGCACTGCACTCAATAATACTTGCGTATATGTATTTCGAGGTAATGCACGAGATTTACTCATTTAAATGTTCATTCACAAAAAAATTACAACTTCACCCCCTTCCTCACCCCTGTCCTCAAGTCTTTCTCCTAAGATATGGAATTCAGGCTCTCATTCCGTTCCTCAAACCCTCACTCCTCACCTGCTTCCCTCTGTCTCCTATCTCCATTCAGTCTTTATTTTTCACTTTCGCGCCCTTACTTTGTAAGAAGAGAAAAATATTGTATTCGACCGCCGGAAAACGGACAATTTTCGACACCAAAACTCTTATTGTCAAGCCCTTTTCAAATGCTAGAGCTAAAACTATTCAACCAATTGTCTCCAAAACTGGTATTCTCCGATTGACTTAAATGAACTCGATGCCTTCTAAGTTTGAAGCAAATAGTGAGAATTTTGGGGTGTTCTTTTCATCACGTCGCAACAACATTGTCAATTGTTTTAATAGCTTCAAATGTTTTGATTGAACTTTGACCTCGGATAGCGTAAAGGTTAGAGAAGCTCAAGGGAATGGTGCAGGTCTAATTTTCTTTGAAACTTCTGATTTTTCCTAAATTGCAAAAGTTCAAATTTTTCCGCCTTCTTTCTACAAATACAATAGAGATTTTTCCTTATTAAAGTCAGCTCTTTAAAGACATATCTTGAAATAAGCTCATGTACAAGTTCTCGCGTAATTTTGTGTGAAATATAGACCATTAAAACGTTAGAAGTATTTTATTAAAAAAATATTCAAATTTTAAAAACAATAAAAATTTCTCCTTGTATCTATCAAAAGACGGTAAAAATATTGGTGTTAGTGTCATTTTCGATGAACTCTCCACATTTTCAAAAATTTCAAAATTAGAGCCAATGCGAGAGTGTATGTGCCGTTGTAGGACCACTAGTTACAATTCTTTCCAGCTCCCTTTCCTTTTGTATCTTTCACAGTCCCTTGTTGTTCTTCTTCCTCTTCTTTTCGTCTCTTGCTCCCTCCGTGTACCCAGGCAATGAGTACGTCCCTCGCTGCACATGTAACAATGAGAGCCGCAGGCACCTGCCCAGCCCTTGCTCTGCCTTGCTCGGCCGGCCAGCGCTCCCTCCCTCGCACATGGTGCATCGTTCGCCCTCCACTCGGCAGATTGCTCCGCTCCCCCCGCCCCAGCCACCCCGCCCCGCGCTTTTCATTTGCGGAAATGAGCTTCCGGCACCACTCGCTAGGGGGTGTGGACGTGGTAACGGCACGAACAGCCTCCTACGACGGTGCGCATCATTGAGGATCGGAGAGGATCAAGGTGTGCTCTCTCGCATGTCCAACAGAAAGGTTCTTATCTTGAAGTAAGTTGCCAAATTCATTTTTAGACAAGCAAATTTCTAAAATTCGTTTTATTTGTTACATAGTACGTTTCGGAGCCAAAATATGACTCCATCATCAGGTACAGTATACCAAAATAAAGGTATTTGATTTTCCAGGAACAACAAACATCTTTTTATTAGACCCAGCCACCTGCCCAAAATGTGAAGGAATGTTTTAAACCTCTCACATTATCCTTGAATTCTTAAGCCTCCAAACTCTAAGAAAATCTCTTGGGATCAATGGCGATATAAATAAAATATTTAATTCAATTCAAGATTGCAAATCAAATTTAAACTATCTTAATATTGGTGGTCCCGATAAAATTTCCTGAATTAATGTAAAACAATACTGTATTCAATAATTCTGTTTGTTACAATTTATCTCTGACGTAAATTAAGAGTGGTAGCTAATGACCAGAGATGTTTCTAAATGGCGACTTAAAATAAATAATTAAAAAATGTTTTAATTTGATTCGTTCCTATAATATCGCAGACATTGATAGTATTTATTACTAATTTTGCCAAAACAGTAAAATAGGTCTCTACCTAAAAATTGGATGTTTACTTTCGTGTACGTGTCGTTCTCTATTAGCAGGTTTGACTTTAGCGCACAAGATAAAATAAACATTAACAAACGAAAACAATAACAGAAAACAACGCCGTTTAATTTCCATTGTTATTTAACGAATATGTCCCCGTTTTACAATTGTGAATGGGAATTACTGTAAACCAATCACATTTCACAAAAAATCGAGTTCTAACGAAGCGAGTTCATTTTCGAAACAGGATTTAGACCAGATTCTTCCAAACGAGTATTTGAACCAAACTATAGGTTTTTCACATTACTCACACAGGCATTGTGAAAAAAAACACAAGAGAGACGAAAATCTGCATTTTGCTCTCCGTTTAACGCGATTTCAATCCGCAAACAGACAAAACAATTGACCCACTTTTTCCCCAACCACCCGAATTTAAACTCTGGCAAAACCAGCTCTTCCACGAACGAAATTAAACACATTTGCTGCAATAAATGAGAAAACGAGCGCGCACGTAGTGCATTTAAAATTTTCAATTGCTTATTTTCCCAGAATTCAAATTAAACGCGGTTTTTCGAAACGGCGAGCTGTAAAAACGCGATAAGTTGCGGCCGCCGTATGCGCCCCGCTGCATTCATTTGTCTGCCGGTCGCGCGGTCCGCCGGAGTGGCCTGTTGTGTATTAGCGCTCGCAATTTCGCGAAATCCATTCCGGATAATTATCTGGCACCGCACCGCAGACTGCCCCGTGCAGTGTGTGCCCGCTGCCAACCGAGTGGGGATGTGGAATGTGCAGAGGGCCAGTGCAGCGTGTGCGAGCTCTGTGGCTGGTGAACGGCGAGGCAAGTATTCTGAGGATTGCATGGCCATCGTTGGGATTTTGGGCCACCTCCGGCCGGGAGGTCCTAGGGTTCGAATCTCGACGGCGGAGGGCTACAAAGCTGGTGTCGAAAATGCTGCCACCGTTAGGAGGGTAACCCTAGGACCTGTATGTCAGAGGCACTGCAGTGACATTATGTTACCCTGGGACACCTACGAACGCTTTTTTTTCTTGAGGAGAGCACATATACAGGGTGTCCGGGGAGGAAACGTCAATATTTTGAATGGCTTAGCCGCAATATGTAGTCAAGAGATTGTTTGAAAAAATGCTTTCTAGGCAAACATTTGCATCGCAGAAGTACAGAAACACTCCAGAAAAGTAAATTGTTTATTATTTAAAAAAGAAATTAATATATTTGTTCAGAAAGAAAAATTATCCCAGAAATAATGAAAAGCAGTCGAGATGTGTAAACTGGATGTATTTCCGTGTTCTACACAGCAGAATTCTTTAGAGCACATTTACCTCCACACAGCGACTGAATTCGATCCTGCTATGTAGCTAGTGTCGAAAATCTTGGCACCATCGGGAATCGAACCTAGGACTTCCCGGTCAGAGGGACGGCAGTGACATCAGTGATGTCCTGAGCCACCTCACCCGATGCGAGGAACGAGCGTGTGTGTATATATATTATCGTTTCGTAAAGAACTATTTTAATCCCGTGCGTTTGCAGTGGGTGGCTACCCCCTCTATCCCTCTCCCCCTCCTACCTCTCGGAATGCTGCAACGCTGCACCGACGCGACCCCACCCAGGCTGCCGCTGCCGCGGGGCAGGCCAAGATTAAAAAGGCGGCGCGCGTCGCTGCGCGCACGGCCGCCAGGGGCGCCACGGGTGCCGCGCGCAATCCGCGCCCCGGCCTTCATCTGTTTCCAAAGCCCCCTCGCGGGACTCGCAGGAGCGTGCACGTGGAAGAGAAGGGGAGGGGGAGAGGGGGTTGTGGAAAGACGACAAGGGTGGAGGCGGAGAAGACTTCACGTCCGGGAAGTGGAAGAGAAGAGAAAGAAGGGAAGAGGCGATTGCAAAATGACGATAAAGGAGGGGAAGACTTGACGTCAGGGAAGTACAGAGAAGAGAAAGAAGAGAAGAGGCGATTGGACGATGACGACAAAGGAAGACAAGACTTGACGTCAGGGAAGTAGAAGAGAAGAGAAAGAAGGGAAGAGGCGATTGCAAAATGACGACAAAGGAGGAGAACACTTGACGTCAGGGTAATAGAATATACATTACATTGTTCCAGAATTTTTGAACCTCATTTGGAATATTGTTTGAAAGAAAGTACCGAATGACATGAAACTATATTTTTGGAGTTTACGATTTTCTATATATTTGTAGTATTTTTTCTAACTTTTCTTCTGCTTTTGTGCAATATTACACCAATGGTTAATCTAATACGATTAATACTTCTCAATTTGCACTATACAGGTCAAATCTTTGCAACACCAAAAATATTTGTATTTGTAAGTATTTTGACTCTTCGAGAATGTCAAAAATCAGTGACACTGTAAGAATATGTGGTATTGCCTTCATTTCTGCATAGAAACTGGTGAAAAATATTGGTAGCCGGCGTCGGTATCAGAACTGCATAACTGCACTCCCGAGCGTCACGAAGGTTGAGAATTTCGAGACACCTCGGGTTCCTAGACGGGTGACCGCCCGGGAACTCCGGTTACTAACCGCGCCGAGCCCCTCACCGAAGGGATAAAAGGAATCGACTGCCTGGGACGCTATGCGATAAGACAAAATTAAACGGATTACTCCAAATCCCTACTCTCAATGTTCCAAAGATGACTACGATATGTAGTTACAATAAAGGCGCAACAAATTAAAAAGCAACAATAAAAATTCATATTTACACATACATTCAAAGCACTATGACATGGAACTCTGAAGGCTTTATGACGTTTCGATGACAGTTCGTGTAATGTTGCCGAATTTAATTTCAATTTATCAGCTTTGGTATTTTGCTTCATTTTAAAGCTCTTTAAAAGTCTTTTCTAAAAATATTTCTATTAATATTAGTCGCAAGTTAATAGACTATTAAATTCAGTGTACAAGGAAAAAGGGAAAATATCCAACTTCGGTGAAAATTCACTACCAACTCGAGGGAAAAGTGAGTTTTAAACTGATTAAAAATCGAACTTCAATGCAACGTAATCCAAACTTTTTGAAAAAGCCAACAAAACGTTGATAACATTTCATCCTTTTCATTTATGGTTCCGAATTTCTTTGCCATAAGTTTACAAATTTTGCTATGAAGAAGGCATGACGGAAAATGAAAGTGCTGGGTACAAGAATATTCTTGAAAAACTGAATGAAAGAAAAATTGTGGAGGGGCGGCAGAAATCGTCACAAGTTTGAGAATCATTACGTATGAACAGGAAATAAATGTATATCAGAGAAAGAAATAATGAATTGGTTTACGAATTCCAGAAAAGTTATACCAAGTATGAACTGAAAAAGAAAATAAGCAATGTACTGAAACTTTTAGAATAACCACATAATACTGAATTAATATAATAAAAACGTAATTCTTAACGTAATCCTCTCTCTCCTAAAAAAATATTTCTGGATACAAACGTAAACAAGAAAAGAACTCATGTGGTATAGTTTTCATAACGCAGAAAATGCGATCAGAATTTTTGCTTAATGTCCTTACAACTACCCCTTTAACTCTACACAACAAACAACCAAACCATCCAATTTGCTACTCAGACAGCAAAAATCTCGAACGCGTTTAGGTCGCCACCCATATCCCCGTACTATTTATGATACAAGCCGCTCCCTCCCCCACCCCAAACGCCGGGCCTTCCATCAAGAGCCCACGTGACCGCAGCCATTGTGCCGGCCAGCGTCATTACGGGCGCTGCATTCCGAATCGCCCGCGGCCACAGCGAATTCCACCGCAGTCGTAACTCAACAGCAGGCGTACACTCCGCGCACGCCAATTTTCGAAAATAACACAGGCACGCAAAATGAAAAAAATCAAAAGGAAAGTTCTCAGGTCCTAAGACCTGACACATTTTCCCTATTAATGTTGACGTTCTGAATCCAAATCTGAAGCGATGCACCACTACTTTACAAGGTTTTTTTTTGTTATTTAAGTTCGCATCAACTTCTAGGTTATTATCGACCACTATTGCGTGTAACGGTATGGTAACTGTGAGGATGACACGATGTGATAATGATAGGAGGTGAAAGGACGAACACAATACAACCATGCCCGAGCCAAGACTCGAACCCGCGATCCTTCGGTCCGAGATCGCTAGGCCTTAACGGCCATCAGCCCGGCTCTATAGTTTCTTTGTCTAATCTCGGAAAACAGGAGGTTGGTGGCGCAATTGTGGCTTCGGATTTGGATTGACCGCGTCGAAATGCATACAGAAACATGTGTCAAGTCTCGGGATTTGAAACTTTTTTTTGATGTTATTTGTGAAAATTGACTTCGGATTCGGCTTTGTATTCGGATTCAGCGCGTCGACATACTTAGAAAAACACATGTCGAGCCTTAGATCTGGCAACAACACACGAAATAAAAACAACAACAACAACAAAATCAAATTCACTGGCGGTTTTTGCAATTAAAAAACTAGAGGGTGATAGCGCAATTGTAGTTTCAGATTGGGACTCATAACATTGAAATTTAGAGAAACATATGTCAAGTTTTTGAACATGACGATTATTTTTTGGGATGACGTTTAACGAATACATTACATCACTTGGTATTTTTGACAAATTATTTTACGTTAGATACATAAATAAATTAATATACAGTGATGCCCGTTTAAGGTACCTGTCTACCTAAAATGCTGGAAATCGTAAAATTTCATGTTTTTCAATTTTTTTATTGCGTCCTATGCTATGTTTTATTCTCTTTTTAATTCTTCAACCCGTTTCCTGCTACGTTGATTAGTTTTAGAGAAAATATTTTTTTCGAAGCAAGTCTCAACAGCCAAGCCCTTAGCGAGTGTACTTCAAATGCATTTTCCCGCACTGGGAATTTTCAGCACATTAATGCTCCTCAAACACCATATATCATTAATGGTAAAAACTAATAATATAAATGTTTTTGAATCCTGTAGCACATGATTTGCTCTACTGAATGAACTAGGATTGTTAATGGGGCAGTAAACGTTTCAGTTATATGTATTGAAATGTCCAGTATAAATTTATAAAAAAAGACTTTCTTCTTAAATACCCAAATCCTGACTCTACTTCCCACAGGATCGTTACCATTTCACTTAATTCAGTAGAATATACAATTATTCTGATGAATCTAAATATACCAAAATTAATACATATGTTGTAGTGTTATGATGTCTGAAATAACTAAGTATTTTCGCCAAATACTTATAAACAAATAAGAAAAATTAAAAAGAACTGATTTCGAAAAACAAAAAATAATTTTTACAAGAGGAATAAAATTGAGACAAAATTCTTGATTTTTTTCCCGTCAGACAGCTACCTTTTAGTAAGCGACTGAAAAGCGTTGCCCACGTCTGCGCCGCGCATCACGTGCAGTGCGGTCACGTGAGGCCGAACTGCAGTTTCGGGTGAACGGCCCCGCAAGTCCGAAGCCACCCGCGCCGCGTACACATGTCACGCAGTGGGCGCTGCACTTCGCGCGGGCAGTGGAGCGGAGCGGAGAGGGGCGAGGCGCGAATAAATGCATTTCCTCCCGCCAGGCGCGCCACCTCCGCGCTCGCCATCGCATCGCGGCGGAGCTGAAAGGGGGCGGGGGCAGCGGGGGCCGGTGGGGGTGGGGGGGAGGGGGCAGGAGGGGCGGAGGGCCGGTGCGGCGGAGGGTGGGTGGTGGGTGGCGGGTGTGGCGGGTGGGCGGCGGCGGGCGGCAGGTGGGGGGGCGGAGGCAGTGGTAAGATTTCCGAAAAGAGTGATCCAAAATATAAGGAGGGCTACGTTAATTTGGGATTTTTTTGTTCTCTAATACAACGATCCGAAAAAAAGAAAGATCTGGGCTTTGATTTGGAATTCTGGGGTGATTAAAGGTAAGAACGTCAATTGGCATACAAACAAAAATGTGAACGCATTTCTGTTATTTTTATGAGCAGTGTGTAGGCCTACAGATTTCTAGTAGAAATTAGCACTGTATTTCCGTACCGGTTTGTAAGAAAATAGTACATTGCGAACACAATGATTAATGATCGGCTCCTCAGCTGCTCCTTGGGGCCGGTAGACATCGAGATTCAACGAGCGCCGTAGGGTGCTGCGTTGGCCCAGGGGGGAGAAAAATGTCGCTGCCCGTTATTCAGGTATTTCTGCTCTGTGAAATTTTGCCGCCCCCAATATGCTACGCATTGTGTTCAACGACTGGATGATAAGTTGGGACTCTCACATTTCGCACAGTCGTGCGCCGTGCCCACTGAAATCGGAGTCTGTAGGGTGAGGGTGAGGTGGGTGGGGGTGGGGTTGGAGGCGCCGCAACGACATAATCGTACAGTGGCGCCCTCCGCGCGGGATGGCGCGGGACGGCGTGCCAACGCAGCGCGGGCGGCCGGAATGAAACAATTAATACGCCGCGAAGAATTGCGCCGCCGCCGTGGTTAAATGGCGAAACATTTAATCATCGCGAGGCGCCTCCGCCGCCTGTTTTGGCATAAGAAAGAGAGGGAGGGGGGAAGGGGGGGTGGGAGGGGAAGAGGAAAATGCGACGGTAACGTGAATTGCGAAGAAAATAGGAGGAGGTATCGCGCAAAGAAAGACGTCTTGTGGGTGCGAAAAGGACAGAGAAGAGAGAGTGGGAGGAAAGAGAAACGGGCGAAGGAGTGAGAGGGGAAAGGAGAGAGAGGGGAAAGGAGAGAGAGGGGGAAGGAGAGAGAGGGGGAAGGAGAGAGTGACGCAGAAGAAG